CACGTCACAAAGAAGAGCAAGATGTCTGTGGTTGACGTAGGAACCGTCGAAGGCAAGCACCTGAGTCAACTCACGAATGAGAGCCGCTCTGGCACCCTCGATACCGAAGACTTCAACAACCTGCCACAAGTGATTGGTGTACGTGCGGTTGGAATCAACGCCATCAACAGCCAAGACCTGGCGCAGAGCTGTTCCGGAGGTATCCAAGTACCATTCTGAGCAGCGCTCGTCCGCCTTGGCAGCTAGCAGGGCTCCATCCTCGGTCTCGATGAGCTTGGTCTCCTTGTTCAAGAAGGCTCTCTCGATACCCTTGACACCACGCAGGGACAGAGTGTCGAGCAAGTGAGTCTCAAGTCTCTTCAGCATGACATCATCCTCGATCTTCTTCTCACCATCTTCGTCCTTGTCATTGCCCGCATGCATAGGCCGAACACGAATGATCTGCTCTTCAGCGTTGTTATCACTGAAAATGACAGCAAGATCGTTGGGGTACTCCTCCTTGATGCGCCTAGCAACGTCCTCGACAGTCAACTCCTTGTCAAGAAGCTTCTGGCGGTCCAGAGTGAGACGAAGGAGCCATCTAGATTGGTCTTCCGTCTTGTCGTGCGACTCGTCGGGGATAAGGTAGTAAGACTCAACCATATCCAGATCATCGGGAATGTTGGTCGAAGTGATCTCCGGGTCATAGTAGATCTCGGTGACTGCGGTCACGGAGCGCAAAGTCGTGTGCTCAACCGTGCTTCGAAGCTGCTTGGCAGCTTCTTGACTGGCGTTGTCCTCACCACTCAGGTAAACAACCATAGAAGGAGTCTTGATGTTCTGAGCCAAGTTGAGAATTTCCTTGAGACGCGGGACACCGAGAGTAACGTTCTTGGAGGAAACACCAGCGAAATGGAAGGTGTTCAGCGTCATCTGAGTAGCAGGCTCACCGATAGACTGGGCCGCAATGACACCAACCATCTCACCAGGACTGACAAATGCTCGATCCCAACGAGCCTCCAACTCTCCCAATATGTGCTCGAAAGCCATCTTGTTGAGGCGCTGCTGGCAAGCGATACGCTTGAACGCGAGTCTAGAGCGGATCTGCGCCTTGAAGAGAATCGTGGCGCTGTAGTCAGCCTCCTTGGAGATGTCATCCTTGCCACGGACGATAGTCATTCTGTTGAGCATCTTCTGTACAACAGGAATGACGTCTTGAGGTCGCAGGTCGCTCCGCTGAAAATCTTCAACAGCAAAGAGCTTCTTGGCTGTCTCCATCAGACGAATGAGGTTCAATGGCAGCTGCATCGACTCATCGTCCTTTCTCTTGAAGTTGATCTCGCGGACTTGCTTGCGATCAGAGATCAAAGCGTCGAACTCTTCGTCCAGGAGCTGCTGAACCGCGGGGTCACCTGCCATCTCGTTACCGTACTCAAGCCACTCAAGCTCTTCCGGCCTGTTCTCATCCATGACATCCAGTCGGAATCGGTCGGCGAACTTCTTGTGCGACATGTTGAGGTGGTCCATACGCTGCTTCTCGATGTAAATAGCGTCCAAACCATCCTCACCATACAGAAACTGAAGGATATCGCCCAAAGAGTTTCTGACGGTACCATCGTACTTGGCGCTGACGTCCTCAAGCGCCTTGACGAGACGACGCTGGATGTAACCTGTCTCGGCGGTCTTGACGGCGGTATCGATCAAACCTTCTCTACCAGCCATGGCGTGGAAGAAGAACTCGCTGGGCGTAAGACCACGGAGATACGAGTTCTCGACGAAACCACGAGCCTCGGGTGAGTAGTCGTCCTTTGTGAAGTGCGGAAGGGTGCGGTATTTGAAGCCGAAAGGAATGCGCTTTCCTTCAACAATTTGCTGTCCGACCAGGGCAGTCATCTGGGAAATGTTGATGGATGAACCCTTGGAACCGGACGAAGCCATGGTGACCGCGTTGTTCAAATCCTTCAAACTCTTCTGTGTGGTGGTACCGGCCTTATCACGAGCGGTGTTGAGGGCCTTGGAAACCTTGCTCTCGAAAGTCTCACGGATGTTCATACCGGGCAAAGGCTCCAGCTCGTTAGCAGTAGCTTGTCTTGTGAACTCCTCGACCTCGGCCTTGTGTTCGTCAATGTGGATCTGGACCTTTTCAATGGTGATCTTATCGGGAATCGTGTCACCGATACCGATACTGAAACCGTTGTGCAGCAGCCAGTAGTTAACTGTCTGCTGGACACCGACCAGGAACTTCATAGCTGCCTCAGGTCCATGCTCATTGTAGACGATGTGGACGATACCGCCACTGGCAGCACCGATGTTCTTCTTGGAGAGCAGACCGTACATGATCTGTCCTGACTGAATCAGGAGACCCTCGTCCTTCAGGGGGTTCTCCTCCTTCGAATCAGGAGCGCTGTGCAAGCTGACAATGTTGGGAACTGCCATGCTCATGATCTGCTTACCAGTCCACCTTGGTCTGGGCCGAATGATGGCGGGCTGGGGAATGTTACCATCCCAGTTGGGAACCCATAGCATGATATTCATGACCTGCTCCTTGGTGAGGAACACGTCGCGACGACATAGCTTGTAAGCACCGGCGAGAGTGTCCTGCACGATACCCATCAAAGGACCGTTTCTTTGCGGGGAAACGATGTTGATGGGGACCAGGCACAACTCCTTGACTTCAGCTCTCGTCTCTTCACTTTGGGGGACGTGAAGGTTCATCTCGTCACCGTCGAAATCGGCGTTGTAGGGAGAAGTGACGGACAAGTTCAGACGGAAGGTTGAGTAGGGCATGACGCGGACTCGGTGACCCATCATGGATTCCTTGTGCAGAGATGGTTGACGGTTGAAAATGATATAATCGCCCGTGATCAAATGACGCTCGACCTTCCAGCCATATTCCAGAGAAATTTGTCCAGCTCTGCGATGATGGCGCAAATCAATTCTTGTGCCGTCAGAACGAATGACGTACTTGGCACCTGGGTGCTCGTTGGGTCCGTTTTGAACAAGCTCATGGAGCCTGCCGATGTTGTACGGAGTGACGGTCTCAGGGTAGGTGAGAGTTCTTGCGATACTTCGAGGAACACCAACCTCGTCGAGAGACAGGTTGGCATCACCGGTAATGACAGTACGTGCCGAGAAGTCAACACGCTTTCCCATCAAATTGCCACGAAGACGACCTTCCTTGCCCTTGAGACGTGCACGAATAGCCTTGACGGGACGACCACTCTTTTGCAGGGCGCGAGGTTGACCAGCGATATCGTTGTCCATGTATGTCGCGACATGGTACTGCAAAAGCTGCTCGAAATCTTGTGCAATATGAGCGGGCGAGCCCTCACGAATGGCCTGCTTGACGTTGCTGTTGGCACGAATGATATCACCGAGTTTGTAGGTCAAATCGTCTTCGTTTCTGAGTCCTTGACCGGTTCCGTCCATAGAAATACTGGGACGGACAGGCGGGGGCGGAACGGGAAGAACGGTAACGATCATCCACTCTGGGCGAGCGTACTCGAGGTTGAGACCCATATCTCTCAGATCTTCATCACTGATACGACGCAAGATGTTGTGAGCCATCTCTGGAGTGATTGGGGGCTCCTCCTTCTTCTTGACGCCATCTTCACCTTGAGCCTCGTACTTTGCAATGAGCTGCAGAGCCTTGTGTCGTACCCTAGGCTGGATGTTGCCACAGCCACCGTGGTTTACGGGAGCTTGCTTCATGTTCAGGCCGTACTCTCCATCGTCGGGCTTCTGCTCCTTGACCTCGTTCTCGCAACGAGTCTTCTTCTTGCAAATGTTCCAAATGCGGTTGAAGCGAACCTTTGGGTCTCTCGTGTTCACAGCTTGGAGAAATTCAGGGTCGCTCTGAGAAGCCAGGTTAGCAAAATCAAGTCAAGGCGGCTGTCAGACATCGTAGAGTAGACTAACTCTGTCGGCCAAGACTTTGCTGCAATTATGGCAGACAATCTCCAAAACCTTCTTGACTTTCTTGATAAAGCCAGGATGGTAGACGGGCTTCGCCAGCTCGATGTGGCCAAAATGTCCAGGACATTCGCCCATCGCCTGGTTACAGGTCTTGCACTTGAATTGCCGATCGATAGAGCCGAGAAGAGGATCGTTCAGACCGCCGTCGCGAGGCTTGGTCCGTGTCTCGTCCATGGTCTCAGGGTAGACACAGTGACAGACACTCATGTTCTTGATCTCCTCAGGAGCCATGAGGCCGAACTGAATCTCCTCGACCGTCTTGATCGGCGCACTCGAGTGCGTGAAGTAAAGGTTCGCCATATTGACGGTATTTTCGATGTCGTTCGCAAAGAATGAGTCGACGAGAATTCACGAGGAATGGAGTCGGAAAACAGGCAAGAGTCGCCGATAGTCGTGACGCGACCTGGCAAAGTCGCAAACAGGGCGCAAAAAGGTCGGAAAGCGAGAATCTATTGCGCGAAACGCTTTTCGAGATGGAAGAAATCGGGCAAGGTCGTCTATCGATGGCGCTCTTGACTACGCCAGTCCCCGGCCAGCGGCCCAGGAGAAGGTTCCACTGATCCTCCCAATCGCCGCCACCTTAAGTGCGTCAAAGAATCGAAAAATATCGCGGTCGTATCGAGTCGTTGATCGTGTCGGAAATGAACGTGCGGTCCAGGGGCGCGATTTCCGACGCGCGTGGTGATTGTCGATGCGTGGATTGACGGAGTTGTAGAAGTGAAGACCGTGGAGGCGAGAATGAGGAGCGAGGTCAGAAACAAATCTTGCCTCCAGGCGGCTGGCGCAGCCGGCAGAAGGACGCTAGCCGGATTTGGAAATTACCCTCCTTTACCTTCCTCAGGCTGGATACGCGTGCCCGAGGTCGAGGGTACCCACAAAAGTCATGAAACAGAATGAGCAATCGCCGACGGACTTAAGTACTTCGTAAGTACTGCGATGTACATTTCCATGGGGAACTGCTCACTGTGCGAGGAGGAAAAGTCCTGAGGAACTTCAGCTGCAAACCTGCGTCACGCCGATGAGTCAAGAATTCCTGCGGAGCCTTTGCAGCGGTAAAGATCACATTGGCGTTGACAAGCCTTGATGGCTGAGAACTTTTGAGACTCGACTCCCTCGCTTAGTCCGGCATTTCCCACAATGGCTGTCGAATTCCCGTCATTATTAAGCAGCCGCCCAGCTTCGAGAGCTTTAACGAGTCCTGGATCGTTCAAGTTTACATCACTGCAAGCCCCATCGCGCTAAAGTCCGAGCAAGGGTCTGCATACCAACGAAGCTCGTCCCATGGCGACGCGATCCAACGCTATGTCACGCGTTTTTGGCGTCCACGCTTCAACCATGGTTCATCAGAAGCCTTTCAGCGTAGAAGCCATCCACAACTTGGGGTATTATTTGCTTCATCTTCTCCGACCTTTACCACCAATCCTGCCTTTGCGAGATTGCATCTTGTCCTCCACGACTTCGCTATCCGGTATCTCACCGTCCGCACCCGGACTCCTTCTCCGCATGGTACCGGTAGATACCGCAACGAACTCTTCCTCGCTGTCGCTCTCTCCGAGATCGAAAAGTATCGGCATACGGAACGCTCCAGCATCGCTAATATGTCCATTGATAACGGTCGATGTCACGACATCCACTTCCTCATCCTCCGCGTCTAGGCGTCTCTTTTGCAGCTCCTCCTGGCCGTAGATATCGAACTCGTCCTCTAGTTCCTCGTACTCTTGGTTCTCCTCGACCTGCGCAAAGTCGGGCGCGAGTCTGGACCACTTTTGCTCGGGTATGACGGACCATATGTATATTCTTCCCGTCTCAAGGCCACACGTTGCGATGAAGGGCCGATCCGGGTGCCATTCAACCACGCCTTGTTCTTCCTTGGGGCCATCCAGAATTCTGATCAGGCCTGTGCTGCCCATGCCCCTGTCCCAGACATATATCTCGTGGTTGTTATACGTTGATGCCGCGACGTACTCAGAGGCGGAACTGAAGGTGACGTGGTTCCATGACAGCCTGTTGACTTGATCTGAAAACTTGTGCTCTTCCGTGAAGTGTATTGTATCGAGATCGAGATCCTCGGTTGCGAGATTCGGAATATGGAAGGTTCTGACAACGCGGTCTTGGGCGTTAATCAGGAGAACTCTCCCCGAGTTGTTCAGCCGTAATGTTGTAATTACACCGCTGCATGGCTTTTCTGAGTATATGGTCTTCAGAGTCTTGGCGTCAATGACGTTGATCCATCCCTTGTTGGTTCCCGCCAGGATATGCTCTCCTGTGGAGGTAAATATCGTGACGGTGGTCATCTGTTTCGCGTCGTCTTTTAGTTGTTTCTCGGTAGGTTCGCCGTCAATATCGGGGCGTTTCGGTGCCGAGCTTAGGGGGTATTTGACATCGGTCACATCTGACACATCGACGAGTATCGGCTGCTCCTCGAAGATTGAGGCCACAAACTGGTGACTTGCTAAGTTAGCGAACTGTCAGCTTCATAGGTAAACGGTTTATTCCACTCACTGATTGAAGGGATTGAGCTCCGCGATGTATGCCGGAGCCCGAAAACGGACCTCGCGATACCGTTTGCCATCCTTCAAATCCCACAAGACAGCTTTCCAACCCTGGCACGCTGACAGCAGATAGCGACCACACCTTGACCAACTCAGTGAAGTGATACTTCTGTGGTGGCCGCGCATCTTCCTCGCTACGCCCATCGTTTCAATGTCCCAGATAACCACTGTGCCGTCCACCCTACCGGAGGCCAAGAGGTCGCCCGATCGATTGAATCGTAGGCATGTTGAATGTCCAGACCGGATGGTGTTCGTATTGTTGATCGCGTTGATGGCCTCGACCGCGGCAATAGCCTCATTCTCTTCATTACTGAGAAGAAAGTTCATGATCGCGGGAGGCCTAGCTGCTGCCGCAAGCTGGCGATCTAGAAGAGCGTTGCGTACGTCGGATTGAGGGGTATGATGGTGTAGGTCGCAAGCTTGAGCTGCCCAGGTCGGATTAGAAGATTAATTATTGGAGTGCAGCCGTGCGCATGCGACTGCCTTTCTTGCGCCTGCAAGGCTGAAGTGCTCCAGGGATCCGGCCCCACAATGAACGCCTACCTGCCGCCCACCTTAGGTACGGACCGGAGTAGCTCAGGTACCTCTCCAAGCCTGTGCCTGTGTCGTCTTAGGTTGAGAAGGTATTCCAGACCGAGACGTTGTAGATGAGTCGAATTCTTGAAAGTGCAAATTACCGCAGAAGACCACAAGTCTAAATAGCCACCTTGTATTTTATTAGACGCCGAATGTGCCTTGCAGTCAGTTTTCTTTGTCCGAGATTGTAGGCACCATCAAGAGGGATAGGACTAGAGGACAGGAACGACTTATTGCCATGGCCTTTCTACTTTTTCCCAACCGATTCCAATGAAATGGTTTTTTCTAATGGCATTTTGTCGTATGGCGTTTTTTCGTAATCGCTAGAAAATTTGAGTTGTAACAATTTACCTTAAGATTCAACTTGTCTGAAGTGGTAGCTGTGACGGGAGCTTGTGTAAAAGAGCGCTGCTGTTTCTCGACACCCCTGATCCTTGTACCCATCTCAGCTCACATTTAGACCCCGCTGAAGCAGCGGCAGAACGACCCCTCCCCCGCCATCCCGTCTACCTCTCTTACTGTCTGAAGTTCGTCTCCAACACTGCCTTGCAGTAGACCTCAGACGGCGTATTCTTCCCCATCGTCACAATGGCGAACTCCAAGTAAGAGATCACCGTCCCTTTCTCTCCCCATGGAAATTGATCTGACTCCAAATGCAGATTTGAATACGTCAAGAGCTTTGAGCAGCCTGACTTCCTTTTGCCAAACACCTGGATCGTCGTCCGCATAGACGGGCGAGGTTTCACCAAGTAAGTCGAGTCGGGGAAGTAGGGATCCATATTTCGACCAAGATCTACCCTCTAACGATCATTGCCTCTACACCACATAGACTATGTGCCAAACATGGCTTTGAAAAGCCAAACGACAAGAGGGCCATAGACCTCATGAACGCCGCCGCCAGGGTTGTCGTCACCGAGCTTCCAGACATCACCATCGCTTACGGCGTCAGCGACGAGTACAGCTTCGTGTTTCACAAGTCATGTACCCTCTTTGAGAGGAGAGCCAGGTAAGGGGGAAGTCCCACATTGGCTGGCTCACATCTGCCTTCAATTTCGAAATTGCATAGCTAAGATTATTTAGCAAGATTTCAAGCACAGTCGTGTCCACGTTCACGGCCAACTACGTCCACTTGTGGTCGCAGTATTTCCCAGATACCCCGCTCACCTCACCTCTGCCGAGCTTTGATGGAAGAGCCGTATGCTATCCTACCGTGTCAAACCTGAGAGACTACATGAGCTGGCGCCAAGTCGATTGTAAGTGCTCTACAGCATAGTCATTCGTGCTCTTAAGAGGTTAACCTAGTAAAAGGCCACATCAACAACCTCTACAACACAACATTCTGGGCTTTGATCCAATTAGGTGGCCTCGACAACAGAGAAGCAGAGAAACTCCTGGCAGTGAGTCATTCTTGACCCAGATATGTTGATGCAACACAAATCTAATGACTTCCCAAGGGAACTGTATCTGGAGACAAGAACGAGATACTCTTCTCGAAATTCAAAATCAACTACAACAACGAGCCCGAGATCAACAAGAAAGGCAGCGTAGTCTTCCGAGACGTAAGTCATTCCAAGGTTCTTGTTGACAGGGTGCGTGAGGCGCAGAACTTGCCCGACTAAGACACCCTTTTACAGTACGAGCTCGTCGAACCGGGTACCCACGACGCCGCGCAGGCGGCAGATGCGCTCGCGGAACCCGTACAGCAGAGCAAAACGCAAGCGGAAAAGGACAAGAAGAAGCGCACAAAGGCCCGCGTCGTCATCGAGCACCTCGACATCATCAAGGACGACTTCTGGGACAGGAGGCCCTGGCTGCTTTCCAACAAGCCAGGCAAGACCCCCAAGGAGCCTTGAACCCCGTCAGACATGGTTTGAATACTCAAGTCCGCCATTGACTTCGGCTTCAAGCTCTCCCGTTGTATACGATGGGCAAAACGTGGAGGCAAAGACACCAAGACAAGCGTAGATCCGCAGACAGAGGTAGACGGAGAGGAGGAGGAAGAAGAACAAGAAGAAGGGGGGAATGTGACATGCAACAAGCAACAAGGTCCGGAAGTAGATTCAAGGTTCATTCTGAACATACCAGGGTTTGGACGAGCTTGGTCCGTATGCTTTCACTCAAGATGGAGCTCAAATTAGAGGAATTTGAAACAGCGCAATCGCTGTTTGATGCAGAAAACGGCGTCCAACAATTTTATTACAGGCAGTGAAGTGCCCGTGACCACGACAGAGCCCGCTTGCTCTTACGTCCCAGCCGGACGACGTGACCTTGTATCTTCTATAAATCAGTGCTTTTTTGGATATCCCTTGCGCCATGTAACGAAGCCCCTCATTGTTGACAGTAGTGCTTCCGCCGCTCTAACCCTCGCCACGAAGCCGTGAAGCTCACGTCTGATGCTCACTGACGTTGGCGTGTGGCACAGCCTCTCGCTCTACCAGAAAAAGCAGAGCTCGGCGACGACGGGTCTTGTCTTCGGCTCTGCGAAGCGGCGGCGGGAACATGTCCTCCCCGTTATGCTAATCTTTTGGGGTTTCCAGAACCCCCATTCTCAGCCCCAGCAACATTCAACCAGACACCCCCTTCTTCGCCTTCCTCGCTTCCCTCTTGACCTTCTTCACCTCCCTCCGCGCCCTCTTCTCCTCCTTCAAGGCCTTCTTCGCAGACCTCTCGACCCTCCTCGCCTCCCTCGCCGTCTTCCTCGCCGCCTTGGCAGCCCTCCTCGCCCTCCTCTCCTCCTTAGTCTCCCCCCTCTCCTTCTTCTCCTTGTTCTTCACCACTCTTTTCGTCGTCTCCTTCTCGTCCCCGCTCTCAGAACTACTCGTCCCCCCACTCTCAGGCGTCGAAGCGCCACTAGCCTCCTCCTTTTCCTCCTTCACCTTCCTTTCAAGCTCCTGAATCGTCCCCTCCAAAAACCCACCCTTGACAAAACTCGCATACAGCATCCACTTACCCCCCGACACCTGTTCAATCTGATTCAGCCGCCCCGTCGTGACCGTCTGCGTGACCTGCCCTTGTTTCGAGGTATCCAGTCCCTGAAGCTGCTCGTCAAAGGCGTTCATCCACCACGTGTCGCTCGTGAAATGCGCCTTGGTGCCTAGTCCCTTTGTGTTATCTTTGCGGTTGAGGAGGAGCGGCTTCGAGAGGCCGATGCGGTCGTCTGTTGCGTGAAGGGAGTGGCCTGATCCGCGCCAGCCTTGCGATTGGAGGAGGGCGCGGGCGTCCATCTTTTCTGTCTCGTCGGTTGTGGGATTTTGGGGGAGGTCTTTTGAACGTTTCGATGGGAATGTTTCGATTTCTTTAGCTTCGCGATCGGATGGCGAAGGGGATAATTAGGTGAATGTATGTCGGTCGGATTCGGGGTGTCATGAGCGCATGCGGGACGATTTCATGGCTAAAGAACCATCTGATTCGAGTGCGACTGTTAATGGAGGGAGGATTGCGACGAGGTGCTCGGGCAAAAAGTGGTCGGTGAACTGGAATTTTTCTGTTCTGCCGTCCTTATCTTATCTTAGCGTTCCAAGGTACTTTCTCCAATCCAACCCAACCCCACCAACATCAATGATCGACCCAAGTGTGAGCCGACGGGATTCTTGTCATTGCCTACGGAGTACAAGGTATTAGTTCACGGAAACGTGGAACTCTTCCTAGTCAGTATTGCTCATACTCAAATTAACGGACCCTTCATATGACCAATGATTCTTGGTGGTTACCTCCAAAACAGTGGAAATCAAACATCATTGACAGAGCCAAAGCAATGGCGCTTGCAATCTAAGCGATCCAATTGAGTAGTACCGTTTCGACTTTGAACGTTTCTTCGTTGATGAGGTATCTGAACTAAACACTTTTGTAGCTCTCCCCTCTATGATTGTACAAGCAGATGCCCCCATTTTTTGGTGTCCCATATGCATCCCGAAATAGAATAAAAAATTTACGCCTTAACCTTCTTGGCCGCGGGCTCCGCTGCGGCATCATCCAACGCACGCTTCTCAGGCTCGCCAGCAAGCTCTCTCTCCGCCTTCTCGAACTTGGCCTGCTCCTCGGCGGTCAAGTTGGGCAACAGCGGCTTCTCCTCGCCCTCCGTAATGTTCAGGTGGAAAGTACGGATGATGGAATCGGCGTCATCAATGGCAATCGGCCTGACATCTGCCAGGGCCTTGATCTTCTGAGTGACGACCTTGACCTGAGCGTCGGTCATGGTGAGACCAAGCTGCTCAACACGCGACTTGATGGCGTTCCATCCAGTCAATCTTGATGCGAAGTGGACGTATCTGCTCATGCCGAAGTCGGCGGGGTTGATAATCTCTGCATAATGCATTAGCTGTGTCCTTAGCCCGGAACATTGCGAATTAACGTACCGTATGTGCTAGGGTTGTTGAGAATGGCCTTGGCGTGGATACCGGCCTTGTGGGTGAAGGCACAGAAACCAGTGATGTAGTTGTTGAAGGGAATGTTGATCTCGACAGCCTCGGCGACGAGGTCCTCAAGCTCCTTGAGCTTGTGCAGCTTGTACTTGGACTTGGTGTACTCGGGGGCGGCGACGATCATGCGAGCCATCAGACCACCGAGAGGGGTGATACCGTTGCGCTCACCGATACCGATGACGGAGGTGTCGACTGGTAGTTGAACGTCAGTGTATGTGGAGCACGAAGCAATCGAGAATTTGACTCACTGTGTGTGGCACCGGCCTCGAGCGCGCAGTAGGCGTTGGCAATGGCGCATCCAGTATCGTTGTGGAACTATCGAGGTGTAAGTATTGAACATGCGCCGTGCTCGGTCGATCTAGAGGCGACTTACGTGAGTCTCGATGTCGCAGCTGACGACACCTCTCAGGGTGCGGACAAGGTCGTAGACTTGTCTAGGGCTGGCGCAGCCGACGGTGTCGGCAATACCAACTCTGTGAACACCAACCT